AACTTGATGAAATATATACATTGTATATTTACATTGAGTTGTAATGAAATACATACATTGAGCATTAAATATACATTACAAGTGCACATTGACTATACATGGAACATTAAATATACATTACAAATGTACATTTAACTTTACATTGTACATTTAAACATAACCTTAAATGTACATTTAAACATACATTGAACCTGACGAAATGTGTACATTATATATTGAATTCAATTACTTGAACTAGTACATTATTACATTGAACTACAATAAATATACAGATTGGAAGTTGACGAATATAAAATAAACTCACTTTCGAAATATTTCCACTTTCGAGTAGTATTCGAAAGTCGTGAAACGAAACTCCACTCGGACTCATAACTAGACATTAGGGCTCGATCCCATCCCTAATGCACATATTAACATCGCATGCATGGATGCACTGTATCGCGGATGTGAACGAACGTGCAAGAGGAGGGCTCTGGGAGAAAGGTAGTTGCATGGACCGTTTCTCGAATCCAGCCGTGGCGAAGACCGTTGCAACGAAGCCGACCAGTTACTAGGCAGACACACTCCGATCCGATGCAAATTTCCTCGACACCCGAGAGCACGGATCTGCTAGGCGTGTAGGCGAGAGATGTCCATCCTCTTGCAAGACCAGTCTTCCAACGTGTATGAGACGTCAACGTGTTGGTGGTGGTACCATAGGCGTCACCTAGAATCCCGATGCTCGCAGTTCAACGTGGAAGTATGCAAGAATAGCTTCTCGCCTTTCTTTTTGTGGCTCGAAACAATTAGCACCGTTCGCATTGTCACACCTGAATGCGCTTGTAATTGCAATCCGAGATGAATGTATTCACGACGAGTGAATGACTGCAGAAGAGAAAGATCCAAGGCTGTGGTTCGATCGGAATAGAGTGAAGTTTTGGATTGTTCAGAGATGCTGGCAATGTTTATAGGAACTGCGGTAAAACTGCAAAAATAATTCAAATGATCAATCCGTAATTTTTCATAAAAATTTTATAGATTTAGAACATGTACATTTTGAGAGATTTGATTAATGAACGCTTGTTGTTCTTCATTGTATGAAGATATTGTTTGTATTGTTCTTTTCTTGTTTTTTGCAGCTTAATTTCTCTCATACAAGTTTCATTCTAAAAAGAATTACTCCTTATTGAAATTTTCTTCTTACTCTTACTGTTGATTAATTTTTTTATTTAAATTCTTAAATTTATCCTTTTTATTCGCATTAAACTATTATTTACTTACAAACTATAGCAATATAATTACTATATAACAGTGTAAACTATTAACAGTCTAAACCACTATTTATTTAATTGCATTTAAATTAGATAAACTTCAATAATCGTTGAAGATGTATATAAAATTTACAAAATTACTACGAATTATTAAAAAAAAAAGATCCTCACTCTGGAAATTTAGAAGATTATAAAACTTTAGAGACATGTGTATGTATTATATAAGTGTGCATTATATCATTTCCTTACTGAAATTCATTTTAATTGATCCATGAAAAATTCTTTTAATTTTTAATTTTATATTATAACATGCAAACTGTAAAAGATAGAAAAAAGTTGAAATGAAAGTTATTTCTTTCAATTGGAACTATCACTTAGAAAAAGATTTATGATTACTTACAACTTTTATTTATATTTCTTTTCTAATTATGTAAATTATTATATAAATAATTGATTATTTTTTTTACTATATGATAATCTTCATTAAAAGAAATGATTTTTATTTCAAAACTTGGAGCAACAAAAAAAAATTGCCTAATACATATCCATATATTAATAGTGCCTTTGTATAACGAAACTTTCTTAAATAATAATTTTCTAAATATAGTATATTTTTATTCTTCAAAAATTCCAAATTAATCTACATATTGCAATTTTCCAAATGGAACTAATTGTAACTTCTAAATATTTTATTGCATGATATCAGTTATTAGTTTTCATGGATCATGAAGATGAATGTAGAACCTGATAAAAGTAAACCGAAAATAAAAGTTATTTATAATTTCACAAAATATATTTGCAGTAATATTTACAAGTAAGAAATTTTCGACACCAGGAAAATGAAATTAGTACTAGTATTTTAAATAATAAAATACAATTTCTGTATTTACTATATATACAATTCAATAAGATACTATATAGTATTATACAGTAGTATAACACTTTAACTGTAGTTACTTTACAGTAGTTATTTACAATAATACATAAAGAACATTCCTAAATATCAATCTTCAAATATAATTGATTAAAGTTTCAATATTATGCAAAAATTACCAATTTATATGTTCCTTTTAAAACCTTAACATACATCAAACTTTCCAATGAAAATGTATATTTCATATATTTTTCTCTCATATTTATACACTTTGCGCAATTTCACCCTGTTTAAAATTTCCTACAAATGTCAAAAAAAATTCGCATTTCATTCGTCACTATAATACCCATCGATAATCCTATCTGGGAATTTGTGTACGTCGCGTATAGTGGCGCCCATGGTTGGGTACACAAGAAGACCGGCACACATAGTGGCTGATACACGACGTCTATTGGGCGACTCTGTAGGTACATACGTACGCTGGATCACGTGCAACTTTCCATATCGAGGAGTTTTATAGCTGTTCCTCGGTAGTAGGATAACCAGGGGCGCCTACACGCGTTCGACTTGGACCGCATCGAGCAAAAGTGCTCAATAACAGAAACATCGACGAAGCCGGCACTGGGGTTAGAGAAACGTGAATGCGGGAAGTACCGTCGAAGAAAGAGACGTTCTCTGCTCTGCGCGAAACGTCTTGCACCCATAATTCATGAAAATCATTGCCTGCAAGGACAGAGAATTCTAATTCCAACATTGGATAAAGGTAACATTTTCAAGCTATTTCAAAATTAATTTGTTGGGAAAATACCGAAGCAAATACATTTGCATTGAGACGTTTAATTGTAATTTATCATAAGAATGTTATAATATTGTTGCTTTTGACAAGAATAATGTTTCTCTAAGATATTATGTGAGATTATTAACCCCTTGCCTTACAGTTTCTTTTTCCTAGTATTCTTATTATAAGTATCACTTGTAATATTGTTGTAATTGTAATGTTATTTTAGATATAAAACATATTATTTTAGATTGAAACACTGAAATGAAAAAAATTGAACGTTATTTATAATTTATACTTATCAGTGTTCAATTTAAAGAAATTAAACTTAAACTTCGAATTAAAATCTCACACATTGCAATTTGCTTTTTCTTTCAAGTTGAAATCGTAACTTATATCATGAATGTGATTCGATATTATAAGGGGTTAATATATACTTACATATATGTAATACTTTAGTTTAACAAAACTTGTAATTAAATTTCAATTTAATTCAATTAAAATTCTATTTCAAGCTTTCCAATTTTACTAAAAGCATATAAAATGCTAAAAGTTCTAAGTGGTTGTAATTCAATGGCCAAGGGCTGAAATCATGATTCAAATTAAAACCAGATTTTTTTTAACGCTTAAGTGAATCTTCAATTCATAGTTTAATAATTTTATTTAATGAGTTTATGTTTGATTTACTTTTTTTTACTTTTCAAAAGAGTACTCATTATTTAAAATCATAAACGTATTTATTTGATAATGCAAACTTATTTATTATAGTCTAAACAGTCTTGTGTAGTCCAAAAGTCTTATAGTTTGAAATTTATTCATTATATCTCACAATTTCAAGAAGATGCTTGCTTCTTTGATTTGTACTTCCCGCTTCTAGGTTAGGTTTAGGTTAAGTTTAAGTTCGATATTAAAAATCAATTACGATAAATTATTGATTACGACTGAATATCGATTTATAATTTTGTATTTCATCGTTTAATTAGCGCTATATTCGAGTTATTTAATTAGCTCTTTATTCGAGTTATAAAATCATCACAGTTTGTACGAAAATACATAGAATCTCAGACAAGATACACGAACACAGACAGAGGTTCATAACCTCGTTGTGCATTGACTATTGAAGGTCACTTTACCATTTTCATGTCACATCCTACCATATCGATGTAAGCAGGTTGTAAATACGATGATCGATAAATAATAAAGTCACCGTACTACAAAGGAAATTTTATACTTTAT